CGTGTCATCCTCGTGCCTCTTTCGCTTCCGACTTGGTTACCACCGTCGACCTGGTCGTCGACGCCACCTTCGTTGCGTGCCGGTCGGAGAGTGGCGGGCAAACCATCCGCCTCAATACGGGTCGGTGGGTGATCGCGCGCCCACTGCACGCGGGTTCCAAAGAGCATAACATCCAAGTTCGCTCCGCCGTACTCGCCAGCTGCGTGGCGTGCCCGAACGTCATCTAACCGCGCCTGCAGGGTATCCTCTACACCTGCTGTGACCTCCTGGTCGACCATGGCGGACTAGATAGTTGCCGAACTACTACAACTTAGGTAATGAACGCAATAGTTGGCTATCTGAAGGTTCTAACGCGGGGCCGATCCACGCTCACCGCACCATGCGGAGAGTCACTACACAACGGGAGTGGACTACGGAGGAGGGCACGGGGTTGTGCGAGTGATCGTAGCGCTCTGCTAGCGTTCTTACTGCTTGCTATGTTCACTGAGAAGTTTGGCAAGAATTTCACTAAGGAAAGAACAACAACTTGCAATAATAATGTTGAAAGGAAAAGATTAGAGTACAATTGAGGCATGCAGAACAAAAGGACTAGAAGGGTATGCAACAACTAGCAAGGGCGAAATCTGCTAGCGCAGGATAAGAGCGGCTTGCCAACGCTGCAGCAGAGTGTTGCACTGCGCGCGATCTGCCAGCACTGCAGTCGCAGGTGACTATCTGCAATCGCAGGTATCTTTATACGGTCGCATGTTGTCTATCTATCTGCACAGATGTGCGCACCTACCAAGTAGGTGCAGGTTGGCGGTTTCACCGCCAGGCACATTGCGCAGGTGCCAGGTAGAAAACGTGTCGTCGGTTTCGCCAGGTGCGCGCCGTCGACCACGTGATGCCGTTCCGCAGGTAGAACTTTGCCAAAATCTCCTGGGCGAAAGTTCGCACGCCTCCGCAGAGTTTCGCACAACTCTGCAACTTTGGTCGATCAGCTCGGCTCTGCTTGGTCGAACAGCGTTCGCCGAGCAGAACTTCTCGACCAGAACTCTTCGACCAGAGTTCTTCGACCAGCGCTCTTCGAGAGGAGACTGTCGCGCAGAGATCGTCGACCAGAGCTCGTCGCGCAGAGCTCATCGACCAGATTCTGCTCGACCGCAACTTCCGTCGAACTGCAGAAGCCCATTTCGTCGACCAACCCATCGTGAACTTCTCGTCGACGGCGAGATCGGCTGCGCCCAAGCGAGGGCGGGGCCTTTCTCTTCGACAAGGGAAACGTTACACTAGCACACGAGATAGGTCAATCGCACCCGCCCTGCACAAATTACAGCCAGCGCGAAACACAGCGCGCAGGCTTCATCGAGAGTGGGACATTTTCCCCGGTAACAAAGAGCGCGTTACTACTCTGATGTTCAATTCTTGACCCAGAACAGTCAGAGTTCACTACTTTACAACCCTGAGCAATCAGGGTGCTCTGGAAAATGTGCACCCATAATAGAGGGGGAAAATTTTCCCCGGAATCAGGGAGGCCTAAGGGTGTATTCCGCTTTGGACACTTTCTGAATCCTATTTGTGACTACCGTCATTACCCGGATATACCCCCAGGCCTATGTTACACCCATGCGGTTATAATCGTACTAGTGGGCTTATAGCCGGTTGCCGATTAGAAGCCCACCCCAATTTCTGTCAATCTTCGTATAAGCGCACCCAATGAATTCCGATTTTTTTTGTAGCGAAATAGCCACTAACGCGCCTAAATGATCCGTCACAGACTTGCCTGACGAAGTCCCCCCTGGCTCGCTTGGCAAAATTGCCGCAGGAGGTGCACGTGCGCGAAATTTGCAACATTTGAGCAGGTGCTGACTGGGATTCTTGACTGTACGTCACATTCTCGGAAATCTGAAGCAGCGATACTCTTTGTGTTAGCGTCGATTTACATCGCCAGGGTGAAATCTACATTCCAGTATTATAAAATCAAATTTCCATAAGTGTCATTTATTTAGCCCATGGGGTTAAAAAATTTACCACATTATAAGCCCACCCACCATTTTTCCAGGTTTTTTTACACCCCCACCTGGGGGTATATCCGGGTGATTACGGTAATTGTGACACTCCGAAATTTTGTGTTTGTGACAAATTTCTAATCCATCGGCCCTCTTGCCTAACCTTTGTACACGAATAAAACAAGCCAAACATTTTTTTGCAAGATTGAGGTGGCTGTGGTTAACTTCTGGGAGACTGCACTCGAATACAAGCTCGCACACAAGCCGCACATGTACGAAGGCAAAGAAACTTGTGAATGGGCTCTGTTAGGAGGCACATTGGGTTGGGTCCACTGGGACAGCAACTGTTCAAGGAAAATATGGTGCCGTGCAGCGCACATCAGCATGGCCACAACAAACATGCCACCATAATAATTGAAATTGTGCACTCTCCTTCCCATCACCACCCCTGCAGAATGTGGCGTGGCGCGTAGTGGAGACAACGTGAGTGGATCAAAAGGCCACTACCGCTGCGAGTGGGAGTAATGCCCGCGGTAATCCCCCCCTCCCCCACCGCCTCCTCCTCCCCCTCTGTAAGAAGGATGGTGCGGCGACGACCCCCCACTCCCCCCGCCACCACCCCTCTCTCCCGCCGGCCCTTCACCATGGGGGTATGGCGGGTGCGGGGCAGGCATGGCGTGTGACGAGCGGTTGTACTGCGCATCCACATCCACGTACCCCGCCTGGGGGGAAGAAGGAGGGGGGAGGGGGGGGAAGAGAGGGAGGGAAGGGGGGAAGCATGGATGAGGTAGGGGCACGAACGGGTGAGGAGAGTAGGCATGGCGTGTGAGGAGCAGTTGTACTGCGCATCCACGTCCACGTACCCCACCTGGAGGCACAAGGGCAGACAGCACACGTGGTGTCAGGAGGGGGGAGGTAGAGGCAAGGAAGGACGAGGGGTACGAGAAGGGTTTAGCGGCTCCACTGCACAACAATTATGTAGACATACACTGATCAAGTCAAACCAACAATGACTTTCAAGGCTTATCCCACCCAATGGGATTCTCACAACGCGCACAACCACGACGCCCCATGCCCAATGAACTTGTTACATGCACATTTGGCAGTGCAGCATCTCACCGCGGGTGGGTAGGGCAGTGCTCTGCTACCCGATGACCCGGCCGCCCCCCTGACAGGCCATGGGGGAGGAGAGCACACGAGCGGGGACAGGAGGGGATGAACAAAGGAAAGCCACGTGGATGAAGGAGAGGGGAGGAGATGGGGGAAAGCAGTGGAATAAGATGAAGTGAGGGAAGAGGGAGGTGATGAGGGAAACCGGAGGGGATGGGGGAAGGGAGGGGCGAGCAGAGAGAGAGAGACTGGAAGTTGGGGGTCGGAAAGTGGGTATGAGGCGATATGGGAACCTGGAAGGAAAGCTGCATTAAATAAATGCAAGGGGGAAATGAATGGGGCACACAATGGGGTGGTGGACAGAGCGGTAGGTATGCTGTATGGGTAGGTGTAGAAGGATGTGTGTGCTCCACCATCTGCTCGCTCGTGTTACACGTTCGTCTGGACACATGCATCCAGGACGCAGGATGCGTCTTTCTCCACTCAGCTATGACCCTCCACATGGTGTCTCACAGATATTCACGCTGACCTTGATTGCATCACCCATGCCCCATGCCCCATCACACTAACCCATGCCCCATCACACTCACCCATGCCCCCCTGGTCGATTGGCGTTCCCTCCGCCTCCACTTCCCCCTCCTCCTCTTCCCCCATACCCCCCTCCCCCCCCATAAGCTTGCCCTTGCCTCCCCCCTCCGCCACTCCCATACCCTCCTCCCCCGCCCCCTCCATATCCCCCTCCCCCAGACGCCCCTCCGCCTCCCCCTCCAGGCATCCGCTCCTGCCCGTAATGCCCCCCGCCCACACCCCCTTGCCTCCCCCCTGCCCCTCCCCCTCCCCCTCCCCCCTGTGGCATTCTCCCCCCAGCTGACCCCCGCATATACCCGCCCCCTCCTGTGCCCCCTCCCCCTGCTCCCCCCCTGGGCGGAAGCAGAGAGGAGGATTGGCGCCCATGGGGGTGGGGGGGGAGCCCGCTTCCCCCTGGCCCTCCCCCTCCTCCCCCCCCCCCTGCGCGCTGCCGCTTTGCCATCTCCTCTGCCTGCTGCCGCTGCTGCTGCCGTCTTTTTTTGGTCTGAAACTCGTGGGATGACTCGTACTGCGGCAGGCTGTAAAGGGTATGGCATGGGAAAGGGGGAGGTGGGAAGGGTTGGGAGAGGGAAAGGACGGGGAGAGTGGGCGGAGGGGTGTTGGGCTGGAACTTGACAGACGACTTGTACTGAGGCAGGCTGAGTGTATACGGGTATGACAGGGTAGCAGGGTATGGTAGGGTAGCAGGGTGTGGTAGGGTAGCAGGGTGTGGTAGGGTAGCAGGGTGTGGTAGGGTGTAAGTGTATGGCAGGGGGCATTGAGACGGAGGGGGGAAGGGAAAGGAACACCCAGAGGCGGATTGCACGGCAGTGCAACGCACCTGCCCGGGTCGCAGGGAAGAGGGTCCACCCAGAAGTACTCCGCATCCAGGGCGTCCTTGGCTGACAGCCGCTGTACAAGGCAACGCATGGGGGCCCAAGGCGTGTGATGAGGTCACATGGACGGGGGAGAACGTTGAAGAGGGGGGAGGGAATGGGGGGAAGATAAGGACCACCGGGGAAGATAAAGACCGGGGGGAGGGGGGGAGGGGGGGGGGGGGTGGATAAAATGACATGGAAGATGGGATTGACGAGCGTCCACCCAGTAAAAAGTTCGACTTCGTTGGCTATTCCTCGCTGGACTAGGGGCGGCATAACGGCCGCGACAACAGAGTAGCCAGCCACATGACATGGTATGCATGCATTCTCACATCACATGAGTTGAGCGTCTTAACAACACCCACTCAACAAGTGCTGATTAGTAAGTGCTGCTTAACTAATAGCAGGGCTTGTAAAAGTCCCGCGTGAGCACATCGCCAATGTCTTTTTATTTGGCCTAACGGTTTTCAGAGCCTGGATAAGAAGAGGAGTGAGAAGCAGGGTGGGAGCAGCAGCGGCGCACCTTGTTGGGGTCGAGTGTGAGCATCTTGTCCAGCAGGTCCAGCGCGTGCTTGTCCACACTGCCGCCACCGCCAGGGGGAGTACCGGGGCGAGGGGGAAGGGACGGGGAACACAAGCGTGGGAAGGAAGGGGAAGGGAAGGGAGGACAAGGGAGGGAAGGGCAGGGTAAGGAAGAAGAGCGGAGGGAAGGAGAAGGGATGGGAGAGGGTAAGGACAGGGGAGGAAAGAGGGCATGGGAGCGCTTGTACGAGGAGAGGGAAACTGGAGAGACAAGAATGACTTACAGTACTCGCCCATGCTTTCTCCCCTCCCTGCAAAGCAGTGCACGTACTTTCTGAAGATGTCTCGCACGCGGCGCTTGAGCACGCGGTCGCTCTTGTGCTGCTGCATGTACGGCAGCTTCGAGCATCCCGGCCAGTTGCTCTCGTCCGGTGTGCCGCACAGCTGGAAGATCAGCCCTAGCTGCTCTATCTGGTGGGTGGGTGAGAGGCAGAGGGGAGAGGATGGAGGGCAAGAGGAACGCAGATGGGGTGGAGGGCAGACAGGTTGGAGCACGCCGGTCAGGCGAGTTGCTCTCGTCCGGCGTGCCGCACAGCTGGAAAATGAGCCCCAGCTGCTCTATCTGGTGGCACACAAGAGGGGGTGAGGAGTGCAGGCATGTGGGGGCTGTGCGTGGAATGACAGATTGGACTTAAAACACCCTGGCCAGTTGCTCTCATGCGGAAGATGAGACTCAGTAGCTCTATCTGGTGAGGTTTGGACGAGTATTCAATGCAATTCCAATAATGCGTTACTCACTTTCGCGCCACTACTGGTGGTAACAGGCAACCTACCCACGGTGGTAAGCAGCAATGAGTGAGAGCAGCGCACCTCGCTCTTGCCGGGCAGGATGGGCTTGCCGATGAGCAGCTCTGCGAATATGCACCCCACTGACCACATGTCCACTGCCGGCCCGTACCGCACTGCACCCATCAGCAACTCAGGCGGTCTGTGTGAGAGAGTAAAGGCGGCGGCAGGTGGAGGGAGGGAGTGGAAGGAGCGGAGTGGTGAAGAGAAGGGGCAAGCGGACTGTGTGGGGATGCTGGGTGCTGCCGAGCAGCTGTGCTGGGGGGAGAGGAACATCAGAATGCATGCGGCAAGCAAACCAAGTGAGAGAGTCCAGTAGCCAGAAGTTTCTCGTGGGTCGAGGTGTCATAGCACAGTGCCACGGGTGCTAGGGGCCACCAAAATACACTACCTGACTCCCTCCATTCACACCGCACCGCCGCGCAAACATGAACCAAAAATGTGGTGTGGTGCTCACCGGTACCAGAGGGTGATGACGCGGTTGGTGAGCTGGCCGCTGGCCTCGCTGTTGAAGGAGCGCGCAAGGCCGAAGTCAGCGAGCTTCAGCACGCCCTTGTTGTTTATCAGCAGGTTGGACCCTGGCGCATGCGCAGGGCGGAACACAATGGCACGACATGAGGAGAGGCGAGGATCAGGATGGCAAACGAAACGGGTACAGCAGACTACGCCAAGACTCAAAGCTCAAGAGAGGGTTGGGTGGGTAGGAGGGTGGGAGGGTGGGCAGGTGAGTGAGTGAGGTACCTTTGATGTCGCGGTGCAGCACGGAGTTGATGTGGCAGAAGTGCAGCCCCGTGAGCAGCTGCTTCATGTAGCACTGCCCGTGTCGTGGTTGGGTGCACACGCAATCCCAATCACACGGCCAGGGTGTGCAGAGCAGAGAAAAAAAGAGTGGGAACAGTAAGGCAAATGAAAGTCTCACTAACAGACAAGAATGACATGACACACGGTGGTTACAGAATGGGAAACCATAACATGTATTTCACAATGATACATTGGGAATGAACCAAAAAAAGGTGCGCAAACAGGAAAGCACATCTAAAGCAGCAGTCCCCTTCATCGTTGGCGCATTTGTACTCTGATTCGTGCCCCTCACCTTCATCTGTGCCCCTCACCTTCATCTGTGCCCCTCACCTTCATCTGTGCCCCTCACCTTCATCTGTGCCCCTCACCTAGAACCTGCAGCACGTACCGTGCTTGATCTGTAGCACATGCATACCTTGATCTGCGCGCCTCACCTTGATCTGGGGCACGGAGAAGCGCATGCCAGGGCGGTCGGAGAGGCCAGTGAGGTCATGGTCCATGTACTCAAACACCATGTATATGCTGCCCTTGTACTTGTTGCTCTCCTCCGCTGCTCATGCACGCACGCACGCATGCACCATAACGCCAGTCATCAAGGCGAGCCATGATCAAATGAACACGTGAGAAGCATGGCATGGGCAAACCCTTTCCCATGCACCCAGGCATTGAGGACTCGAAAGTACTTGGCCGAATTTGCAATCTCAATTTGAGGAACAGGTCAATAGCAAACGTAACAGCACTGCACTAAGCACACCATCTGTTGGCCCATTTTAGCCTTGTTCACTCTCGCGCTCATCACAACTTGCAGCCAATGGGTTCACCATGCAGCTGGGGTGGGGTGGGGCAGTGTAGAGGCAGCACGGCACGGCACGGCACGGCACGGCACGGCACGGCATACCTTTGGAGGTGACGATCTCCTTGAGGTTGACAATGTTCTCATGCTTGAGCTTCTTCAATATCTTGATCTCCCGGATCGCTGTGATGGGGAACTGCACACCGCACCCATCACACGAGTGCAAGGGCGCAGGTGCAAGGGCGCAGGTGCAAGGGCGCAGGTGGAAGGGCGCAGGTGGAAGGGCGCAGGTTGAAGGGCGCAGGTTGAAAGGTGTAGATGACGATTGAGACAACTCAAAGGTCAAGCCACCGCGTATAGCGGAGGATGTGCTTGACAGGGGTGAAGGGACCTATGGCGTACAATGCATACACACGCTGGCGCATATGGGGGACGACATGAGTGGGGGGATAGGCAGGGCGGAATGAGATACGCAGAACTCACAAGAAATCTGAAGAGCAATAACAATCTACCAGAAACTCAGTGCGCTCAGGAATCTTGCTACCAGCAGGCACTCACTCTCTCACTCCACTCCCTCACTCGCCCCGTCCTTCTCCGTGCCCAGAGCAGCAGCACGAGGCAACTCAACTCACCCCCTCCTTCTCGTTGTCCATGCGCACTTTCTTCAGCGCCACTATCTCGCCCGTGTTCTTCTCCCGCGCCATGTACACCTGCCTGCGGTGTTAGGATACAGGGCGGTGTGCAGGGGTAGTTAGAGATAGAGATGGTGTCAGTTGGATGAATAGGTCGCCCCCCATCTTCAGAGTTCTTCCCTCGCGCCATATACACCCTGTCTGCCTGCACGCGTGAGGTGCACGGGAGACAGCAACAATCACGTGTATGCGTGGTTGGTAGGCAGCTGACTTTTGAGTCGACTCAAAAGTTACCTAGCCGCCTGCGGTGCGCATGCGACCCATTCTCGTCAGCTGCTGAGCGCAGACTCCTGCGTGACAAGAGCCTGACCGATGATACAAGTACCGTGCTACCTTACCCGCGTGCCCCTTTCATCCCCACGCCTGCGCGACCCTCTGAGCACCACGCCTGCGTGTCCCTCTGAGCGTCCTAGCAACAGGGCAGCCACCGCTACTTCTCCGCGGCTGGAATATCGTCTAGTTCGCTCCAGCGACCGCCGTTTCACTCTATCGTTTTGAGGATCCACAGCTTTCCAATCCTTCTCAACCGTCATTTACCACGAAATTCGCCTTTCGTGCTCGTCGCAGAACTGGCAGGTCGCGTCGATATCATTCGCAACCCTGGTTTGTGCGCTCCCTTCCATATTCAACGCCACTGTCACTGTTCGCGTAACTCCTTCCAGCGAACCCGTTCGTCCCAACTCCAATCCGCTTACCCGCAGGTCACAACTCCCCGCGCGCTCACCCGTAGGTGCCCTCGCCGATCTGCTCCAGCTTCTCGAACTCGTCGATGCTCCGCGACCCCCACGTGTGCGTCCCCTCCAGATTCAGCGTCCCCGGCGCCGCCATGCCCGCGAGCGACGGGGAGGTTTGCAACAAGTGCTAGAAGTGGTTCGCGATGCACCAACTCTGGAGCGTGAAAAACGACAGGGAATTACACTATGGGTGATCACGTGGGAGAGAGTAAGGCTGGAGAAAGACAACTAGCAGAAAGATCGTAAAAGAAACGGTTGAGAAGGAATCGAGGGTTTCTAGACAGCGAGATGACACGTTCCCCACTACGGCAATTTTTCCCAACCCTAGGAGGCGATGTTAGGCGATGTTCAAGAAAGTAGGTTTAAGTTACAAAATTCAGTTTTGCCACGAGAAGCTTTACGAAGCGCACTTGGTAAGGAATTGCAATTTCTTACTGTACTCGCACTTTAACGAGTACATTACGAGGGTCACGCGACGAACCTGTTCGGCCTATTTCATCGGCCAAACCAACCCCGAGTCGCCTCCGCATCAATCGCAACCGTCACCGAGCCATCTTCGCCCGACCTCCCCGCCTAGCTAGCTTTTCCCCTATTTAGGTCTCGTCACTTTCGGTGTATGGGCATTCTGTAATTCAGATCCTCGTTATTCGTTATTTTGCGCACTCTGCAAGTTCGTTTAATATTTGGTATCAGAGCTATTTTCCTAGCCTACCCCGTTTTTAGAGTGAAATACCCCTTGGGGAGGATGGGGTGGGGGGGGGGGGGGGGGGGGGGGAGGGGGGGTGGACGAGGAAGGATCTCCTTGGTTCCAGAAGTTGCGTAGGCCGGCCAGGAGAACGAGTTAGTTGCTCCTCGCGGCTATGTTTTTACGGGCACTCCTTGGCACCGGCGGATCTTATTTCCACTGCATTTTCCCGATGATTTCGGATAATAATTCGTGTGGCAGCTGGCATCAGAGGACCTGCGTCCGCACCTGCATGAACAGCCTCGAAGTCGTCATCACGTGAGGAAGGATGTCTTTGGTTTTAGGAGTTGCGTAGGCCGGCCAGGAGAACGAGTTAGTTGCTCCTCGCGGCTATGTTTTCTCAAGATAACTAGGCAAGAATGAATGAACTAGCAGGAGTTTGGGTACAAATATGAAACCCTAGTTGGGGTTGTACCCCATATTGGCTACCCCACTACAGCCTACAAGCATAATAGAGTTTAACACACCCCCATAGGCAAAGTGGGGGAGAACAAAGGGTCACAAGACCAGTCCAACAAAGCAAAGCAAAGCCCAGGGTGGATCACAACGTCACCACACTCCGAGCACAAGTAAAGGCCACAAGGCCAGTTCACATGCAGTGCTAGATATAGTACAAGACAAGCAACACAGTGATCAAAACCTAGCAAGCAAGCAACAAGATATATATAAAGTACAGTACAAAGAATGTCAAGCAGTGAGCAAGTGAGGAAACGTGGACACAAGGCCTAAAGAAGTACAGTGCCGCTGATGATCACTAGGCGGGAGCGCCTTGGTGAAGATATCAGCAGTGTTGGCCTTCGAGTCCACGTACACAAGCCGAAGCTGACCGCGCTGCTGAAGCTCTCGAGCAAGAAAGTAGCGAAGAGCAATGTGCTTCGTCCTGTGCTCCAGTCTGTGCTCCTGACACAAGGCAAGAGCCGCCTTGTTGTCACCGTACAGAACTGGAGGAGAACTAGGCCGCTCTCCCAAGTCAGTCAGCAGGTAGGTGAGCCAGCGTAACTCCTGTGCAGCCATGGCTGTGGCGTAGATCTCAGCCTCACAACTAGAGCCGAGAACAGAGGAAGAGCGAGTGGACCGCCACGAGACAGAACCAGAGCCAAGGCTGAAGGTGTAACCCTGTGACGACCGCTGCGTAGCCAGGTCGTCCACCCAAGAAGCGTCCGAGTGACCAGTGAGGACAACTCTGTCGCGTCCTCCAAGCACCAGCCCCATGCCTGATATACTGCACAAGTAACGCAGCACCCTCTTAGCAGCCTCCCAATGCTCTCGCCTGTGTCTCCCAGGCGCAACGTAACGAGCAAGGATGCTAAGAGGGTACGCGAGGTCAGGTCGCGTGCACGTCATCAGGTACATGAGGCAGCCTACAAGCTCTGGGTACGGGCCACTCGGCTCTACGGACTCGTCCGAAGGTGGAGCTGAGAGTGAGTGGCTGGTAGCCAGAGGTGTGGCCTGTGGTGAGGAGAACTGGAAGCCGAAGCGCTGAAGGACCTGCTGCACCATGTGTGACTGAGTCAGGGTGATGGTGCGGCGAGCTCTGTCCCGGGTGATCTGCAAGCCAAGGTAGCTACGCAGTTCACCCAGGTCAGTGCAGGTGTGTCTCTTCTGCAGCTCCGACTTCACACGAGCGAGTGCCTCAGTGTCAGCAGTAGCAAAGACCAAGTCGTCGACGTACACGAGGATGTAGAACGGCGGCAGCGACGTGTCTGTGCGCAGAAACAGCGACGGGTCAGCAGTAGACGGCGCGAACCCAAGAGCCGCAAGTGTAGTCCTCAGTGTGTCGTGCCACTCACGTGGCGCCTGGCGGAGACCGTAGACTGGCCGGCGGAGACTCCACTGGGTACCAGGGGGAAACGACCCAGTAAAGCCAGGTGGGCGGCGCAGCCAGATCTCCTCGTGCAGGCTGCCCTGCAGGAACGCTGTACTGAAGTCAAGAGAGTGAAGCTCGTAGTCACGCTGAGCAGCAACGTGCAGCAGAACCCGAAGAGTGGTCATCTTCGGGGTGGGGGAGAAGGTCTGGAAGAAGTCGACCCCCTGACGCTGACTGAAGCCTCTAGCAACATAACGAGCCTTGAAGACAGGCGGAGAACCTGGCGGCCGCTTCACCCTGAAAATCCACATGCCATCGACGATGTTCGCCCCAGGAGGGGGAACCTCGTCGACGTAGGTGCCTGTGGACTTCCAGGATGCCATCTCTGCGTCCATGGCTGTCTGCCACTGAGAGGAGTAGGGACCCGAGATCGCCTCTGCGTAAGTGCGCGGAGTGGGGATGTCTAGTGCATCCGGGTCTCCCTCAGGGGCAAGCAACCAGGCCACGAGATGAGGTACAGCAGCCGCAAGAGAGTCAAAGTCCTCCTGCCTGTCCTCAAGGACATCCGTGCCAAGAGCACACTCACCCCCGACGGACGGAGGACAGACAGACGCAGACTCGGACTCAGCAACAAGGCTAGCAGCGTAGTCTAGACGACAGGCTGCAGCAAAGTCAACCAACTCAGTGACCAGAGCAGACGCAGCCGAGGACTCAAAGGTAGGGTCAGTGACAACAGTAGCTAGGAGACGCGTGACTGTAGGGTGCTCAGCGCGATACCGGTCAGACTCAGGGTCCGGAACGGCAGGCAAAGAGGAGACGGTAGAGGGACACGCCGAGGAGCAGTAGAGGGACGCAGAGTCATGTAGTGAGTGCCTGGGACAGGAGGAGGACGCTCACGACGGACACGACTACCAGTGCGAGCAGGACGAACAGGCGATGCAGGACGAGACTCAGGCTCACGACGCTCTGTAAGACCTCCTGTGGGACCAGCGTAAGGAGAGGGAGCAGGGAGAGGCGAGGCAGGCGATAACTGTGACTGCGGCTGGACAGGCGGAGGACACTCTACGGAGGGAGGAGGACAAGGAGGAGGAGCCTGCCCAAGAACCTGCTGAAGGAGCGGTACGAAGTACGGTCGCGGCCGCGCAGCGTCTCCAGAAGCAGAAGAGACTCCAGCGGCCGGGTCCTCAGGACCAGCAGGAGCTCCAACGTCCGGGTCCCCAGCTCCAGCAGCTCCAGTCGCAGTGCTCCCAGAACAACCAGTCCCGGCAGCTCCAGTACCCCCAGTACGAGCACCCCCAGGACGAGCAGCCCCAGCACCCCCAACTCCAGCCGAGCCACTAGGACGGCGAAAGCGCCGGACGTACCAGTCACGAAGCTGCTGCGGTGTGAGAGACTGCTCAGCACCCCGAACCGGAGCACCCCCAGACGCAGTAACCCGAGGCTCCGTAGGCTCAGTAGCAGCACCCCCAGGCTCAGTACCCGCAGGCTCAGTACCCGCAGGCTCAGCACCCCCAGTCGCAGCACCCCCAGGCTCAGCACCCCCAGGCGGCAAACTCTCAGGCACAGTACCCTCAGCTCCAGCACCCGTAGTCCCAGCACTCCCAGGCCCCGTACCCGCAGGGTCAGCACCCCCAGGCTCAGCACCCCCAGGCTCCGTACTCTCAGGCACCGTACCCTCAGCTCCAGCACCCTCAGTCCCAGCACCCGCAGCCCCAGCACCCCCAGGCCCAGCACCCCCAGGCTCAGCACCCCCAGGCTCAGCACTCCCAGCAGCACCACCCGCAGCAGCACCTGAGTCACCTGTGACCTCGACAGGCTCAGCGACGGGAGGAGGGTCTACCTGAGAGACACCTGAAGGAGCAGGACCCTGAGGGGGAAGGGGGTCTACCGGAGGGGGACCAGGAGCAAGGAAAAGTGGCGGGGGAGGGAGGGGGGCAGTGCGGTAGGGGAAGAGACGGTAAAAAGGGACCGACTCGTCAAAGGTGACATCCTGAGAGGCGAAGACCCGGCGCGAGGTGGGGTGGTAAAACTGCCAGCCAGGCGCGTCAGGGACAAAGCCAAGGAAGACACAGGGAAGCGTGCGGGAGGAGAGCTTGTCCGCGGACGTATCGCGGACAAGGGCACGAGCACCCCACACCCGGAAGCGCGACGCATCGCCAACCTCCCCCGTCCAACGCAGTGTGGGCGACGTCTCCGGCAAGGAGACACGGGGCCAGAGGTTGAGCTGATGCGCGGCGTACCGGACAGCAAACGGCCACAGAAAATGGGGAGCCGCCGCGTGGACCAAGGAGGTACGAGCGACCTCCATGACCAGGCCAATGCGGCGCTCAGCAACCCCATTCTGCTGTGGGGAGTCCGGAAGCGTGAAGGTCTGCTCGATGCCCTCCGCCTGACAGAAGGTCCTCAAGAGATCGGAGGAAAACTCACCACCTCTGTCAGAGTGCAGACGCAGGACAGGAAGATCCGTCCGGAAACGGCGGCGGAGCTGGAGACGAACCGTGCGGATCCAAGGGATCAGAACAGCAGGGACCTCACCCTTGGTGCGCAAGGGGAAGACCGTGGTGTAACGCGAGTAGTCGTCGACAACCAGCAAAAAGTACCGCTCACCGCCCTGACCACGAACGCGGGCTGGGCCCCACACGTCCAGGTGGAGGGTCTGCAGAGGAGCCTCTGTCGGGGAGAACGAGGAGGAGTGAGGAGCGGCGCGCTGCCGCCCCTCGACGCAAGGAAGGCAAGGCGGCGCAGGCGAGGCAGGGAGGGGAGGGAGGGACCTGGGAAGACCAGACACAAGGTGGCGACGGTGCATGCCACGAAGGCGGTGGTGCCAGAGAAGAGTCTGGTGCGACAGGGAACGACACTCACAGGCGTGGGCTACCAGACCTGACGCAGACACCTGACCGACAGCAGCGACCTGAGGAGACGCAGTGGTCAGTGTGTAGAGACTCGACCCCGGCCGACGGGTAAACGTAGCCAGGTGACGGCCGGTCCTGGAGCACGTGCAGATCGCCACACGCTGTCCTCCAGGGGTAAAGGTGTCAACCCACTGATCCTGGAGGACAGCGTTGCTCACCAGGTTCGTCGAGAACGAGGGGAGGTGGAAACCCGACAACGAGCCAGACGGAACCGCCGGACAAGGGAGGACAGTGGTGGACTGGGCAAGGACTGGGCCCCCAGAGGGGTCAGCCAAGGAGACTGGGACCGGTGCAGGAAGCGGTGTGAGCTCAGTACTGTCACGAAAGAAGCAACGGGAAGCACCTGAGTCAAGGGTGAAGGTGTGACAGGCCTCAGCCGGTGCGGTACCTGAGAGAGCAGTCTCTGTGAGTGCTGTACCTGAGAGAGCAGACTCGAAACCAGCCGGGACAGCACTGGAGGGAGCAAGTACAGGGGGCACCATACCAGAGAGAGCAGACTCACTAGTACCCAGGGCAGCGGGCTCTATACCTGGGTCAGGCGGCACACACAAGTAACAGTCTCCCTCGGCACTAACAGTCAATGCATACATGGCAGCAATAATAGCATCATAGTCAAGAGCAAAGACATCAACACCAGCCCTCATGAGCTCAGCCCAGCGGGGGCGCTCAACATCCGCACCCATCTCCTCACGCCAAGCGTCGTCAAGGCGGGAGAAGCAGCGGTACGGGGTGTGGAACCTCCCACACGTCTGTCCCTTGCGGTCACCTGTGCGAATGACATAGGAACAGCGGCCACTGCCCCCCGACGTCCCACGCTGAGCAAGCCACTCACGAAGCTGCTGGGTCGTCTGGGGACGCTGCTGCTGCTGGGAGCTCTGGCCCGAGCCAGTGCCTCCACTCCGACCTCCGCCGCCACCACTACCACCGCTCCGACCGCCACCGCCACCACCGCCACCACCGCCACCGCCGCCACCGCCGCCGCCACCGCCACCGCCGCCGCCACCGCCGCCGCCGCCACTACTGCCACTGCTTCCTCCGCCGCCCCCGCCTCCACCACCGACCCCACTCCCACCAGCGCTCCCGCCACCGCTCCCTCCAGCACCGCCTCCCCCCCCACCTCCCCCACCTCCTCCCCCCCCAGCGCCACCACCACCCTTGCCCCCTTTGCCCTTGCCGGTGCGGCGCCTCCCACCAGGAGCAGAAGCAGCGCCAACAGACTCAGCACCAAGGAAGTCAACAGCAGCAGCAGCAGCGTAGGAGGGAGCGAGGGGAGAGGGAGAACACCCCTCAAAGATGGGGGTGCGAGGAGCGCCACGAGCAGCACCGACAGCTACAATGCTCTTTTCGGCCGCGAGCAGCTGCTCCTCTAGGAGGGCGACTGTGAGCTCAGTGGGACAGCGAGCAAGGAAGTGGTCTCGAACTGAGCGGAGGGTGTCAGGGAGACGGGTGACTATGAAGTGGAGTGTCCAGTACAGTGGAGGGGGGTTCTTAGCGCAGAACTCGGTGGGAAGGGCGGCACGTAGGCGAGCATCACTAGTGCGAAGGTGGGTGATAAGATCGGCGACTGTAGTAAAGGTGGACAGATCGGGGAACAGGTACGGCAGCATGAGGCGGCTAAGCTCGGCTGTGGCAGGTGAGGAGTAGCGAGCAACGACAGCATCGTACAGGGCCTTAGCGGATTTGCAGTCGCCAAAATGCTCGAGCTCAGCTAGCGGCAGGTGACTGCGAATGGCTAGGCGAGCAGCTGCGTCACGAGTCTGCCAGTGGGAACGAACACTAAGCTCGGCTGTGGCAGCAGGAGCAGCGGCAGCACCAGACGCGTAGTCATAGAGGGAGATGTGGTCCGTGCTATTGCTCATAAGATACAACTGCAGGTCGTCGAGCCAGGAAGTGAACTGCACGGGACGGCCCTCAGCATCGAAGGAGAGAACGCGAATAGAGGCCATAGCTCAGGCGTGAGGGCACAGCAGAGCAGCGGCAGCAGCAGAGGGGACGCGCTAGAGCGAAGCTAGCAGCCACAGCAGGAGCAAGCGGCGGTGCACAGGCAGGGAGCAGCAGGCGAGGAGCGCAGCGGGCGGGCCGCGAAGCGGGCAGCGAGCGGGCGGGCGGGCTGCGAAGCGGGCGGGCCGCGAAGCGGGCAGCGAGCGAGCGGGCCGCGAAGCGGGCGGGCCGCGAAGCGGGCAGCTAGCGGGCGGGCGGGCTGCGAAGCGGGCAGCGGGACGAGCGGGCTGCGAGCGGGCGGCTCGGCGGGCGGGCGACACTGCGAGGGGCGCGCGAGGGCGCTGGTGAGGGGCGCGCGAGGGCGCTAGCAAGGGGCGCGCGAGGGCGCTAACGAGGGGCGCGCGAGGGCGCTAACGAGGGTGCGCGCGAGGGCGCTAACGAGGGGCGCGCGAGGGCGCTAACGAGGGCGCACGAGGGCGCTACGAGGCTAGGGCACGGGGTAGCGTGGTAACCGCATGCGAGCGGTGGTGGGCCCTAAAAAAAACGGTCGGTAGGTCCTAGGGACCTCCTGCTCTGAATACCATCTCAAGATAACTAGGCAAGAATGAATGAACTAGCAGGAGTTTGGGTACAAATATGAAACCCTAGTTGGGGTTGTACCCCATATTGGCTACCCCACTACAGCCTACAAGCATAATAGAGTTTAACATGTTTTACGCGCACTCCTTGGCACCGCCGGATCTTTGCCTTGAACAATCGCAATCAACCATGACCTCCCTCCCCGTGGGCAACGGGCAGCCGTAGCTATCGCGACGTTTCTGTGAGTAATTTCCGCTGCGTTTTCCTGACGATTTCGGAGGATAATTCGTGTGGCAGCTGGCATCAGCGGACCTGCGTCGGCAGCTGCATGAACAGCCTCGAAGTCGTCATCACGTGTGGCAGCTGGCGTCGCCGGATCTACGTACACAGCTCCGCAAAAAAAAATGGACTTGTTCTTACGCGACAGGCGTCGACGGTGGCTCGCCATCATCTTGAGCGCGAGATCCTTGGAAGGATGTTCGACAGCTGGCGACAACGGGCCTGCGTCAGTATGGGCAAAAGTTTTGGAGTTTCTGGAGAAACGACAGGCGCAAATGGAGTTTTTGCGTCCAAAAATGTTGGTGTTGAGGAGAGACGATACGACGAGTGCCCGACTTAGTGGGGGTTAACTGCCGTCCCGCCCGACTGGAAGTGCAGCAAATTTTACTGCATGGCGGGCACGTCATTGAAGATGTCAGCATGAGTGCACGTGTACCGACGGGAACTTTGGACCTGCCGATACTTACGGGCTGCAACAAAAACCGTGTGGCTTTATCGCACTAAGTGGAAGTGGGGCGCAAGCGCGAGGGCATATCGAGACTAAACATCCGAAAAGTACCCATTTAAAAAAGTGTGCCTGGGGTTGTTTGCCAGCTATCGACAGTTTCGAGATTGGTTTTCCCGTTCAAGGAAGCAATTTTCAGGCAAAGTCGGCAAGAGAAACGTGGGTTTTTGGTTAAACAACATCGGCGAGAGCAGTTTCGACGACGAAGTCAACGGCGTTGATGCCACTAGGATCCGTGAAAGTCGGTCTCAAAATATCTCAGGTCTAGTCCCCGATCACAGATTATGGCCCCATATGGGTTTTGGTGAACTTATGGAAACAACTTGTGACCGGATGGGCGGCTACAATACGTTCGAAGGTTCCGGAGGAGAACTGCACCTGCATTTGGGGATTTACAAGGGTTGTTTTTTGACGACAATTTCTGAGTTTTACGTGGGGACTTACCGGTTTTACGGCGAGGAGAGCCGACATTTTCAAGACGCAGGGCAACACCGTGGGAACTACATGGCGTTTTTAAGGGGTACGAACAACTTACGACGAACTGGAGAAGGACGCAGCAGTAGTGCAGGGGGGGAAAAGAGACTGTTGAAAAATTTCCCTCCCTGCCCCGGACCCTCGGCGGATTGCGACAAAAAGTTCGGCGAGTCTGGACGAACCGCCGGAGAAGCTGGCGTCATCTGACATGAATAATGAATTCGAAATTTTCGACCGGAGTGACATTCGATTTGGTTACTGCTTTGACAACCATTGCCAATTCTCGTGTTCAACTTCGGAACCAATCGCATTCATCAACTCTACTACCGACAACTCGCCCAACTCAAACCGCCCAAGACAAAAATCTGATTTCAACCACGCAAGATGCTGCCAGTTGCAACTGTTGAAGCTATCACCTGCTTCTTGCGATGCGAAGACAAAAACTGATAGTTCGAGAAACACGAATTTTCTGTCGTGGTTTTCGGGCTACATCTTCTGGTTTTCCCTTACATTATTTTGGGCACGTAACACCTGGTTTCACCATCGATTTCCACACCGACACATTTTCACTTGGACTTCTACACTCAACGCTTTCCTTCGTGCGACTTAATACCTGGTTTGGCTGGAATGTACTTCGGCACTGCTGTGGAACATTTTCAGGGTGGTTTTCTTGGAGGGGGAGGGGGGGGTGCGGGGGGGGGGTGGGTGGGAGGGGGGAGAAAGTGCGCTGCACTGTTTTCCTTCGGCGTTTTCTCGGCACTCTGCTTGACTTGGTCAGGATGGAGCAACACGACGGACGGGCGCGATCCCGACATTGAAATCAACGTTCCTGAGCAGTCTCTCTTGAATTCTGCGTCAGACTATTCCTGTCAGACTGCGTCATCTTCGACCGTGCGATCTACGTTCGAAGTCATCTACAACTCAAATTCCAACGTTCACTTCAAGGCCGTCAGATTCAACTCGGAATACATCAACGACCAACATTCCAACATCCACTTGAACTTTGTGCAGGCAATTCCAGCTGTCCGATTTACCTAGCTGGAAATCAACGGCATTCTCGTTATTGCAAGACCTTTTACGTACACGGGAGGCTTCTTTGGAAGGTGGGAGAGTGTAAGAAATTATGGTTACTTACTTTACTCCCACTTCAGCGAGTACATCCAAAGGGTCACGCGACGAACCAGCTCGGCCTATTTTGTCGCCCAAACCACCCCCGAGTCGCTTCCGCATGAATCGCAACCGACACCGAGCCATCTTCGCCCAACCTCCCCGCTTGGCTAGCTTTTCCCGTATTCGGGTCTCGTCACTTCATTGTATGGGCATTCAGTAATCCAGATCCTTGTTTTTCGTCATTCTCCGAACTCTGCAAGTTCATTCATAACACACTTAGAATTATATATTTTAGATTGCTTAAAGTCGGGATCTCACGTATGAGAACAGGCCAAAAATTGCAAAGCAATCGCGACTCTTGTTCCACTATTTGTGTAGGCAAACTGACTGGTTGGTTATGAAGGTGAGTGTGCGACACACCCATGTTTTTTTTTTCTTCTTTCTTTTTTTTTTTTTTTTTTTTTTCTCGAACAAATGCACAACAAATTGCTGGCACATAGATTCTTGGGATGTGGCGAGAAATTGCTGGTATTGGAGCTTCGTCACCGAACCAACTCCCGTGCTTCCATTGTTCCGATTTAACTAGCGATTTGTGCTTAGTTCACACCCCTTGCTTCACCCCTCTTCAGATTATCCACCTCGCTAACCAGCACCCAGCCAAGCTTCTCTTGTCAGAAATAACTGAGCAGGAATGAATGAACTAGAACAGAGTTTGGTACAAGTAGGAAACCCTAACTTTGTGTACCCCCTAAGGTGTAACCCACTACAGCCTAGACAATATAAACATGCAATGTTTGACACACCCCCATAGGCGCAGTGGGAGACAACCACAGGGTCACAAGACCAGTCAAAGCAAAGTAAAGCAAGCTCAGGGTGGATCTCAAGGATTCCACACAAATTCCGAGCACAAGCAAGCGGTCACAAGACCAGTTCACATGCAGGTTTATAACAAAGCAAGAGATACAGTGATCACAACCTAGCAAAAGTAAACAAGTAGGCATATATATATAGTGATCACAGTACAAGCAAGGTCAAGAGGTAAGCAAGTGAGGCCCAGTAGGTACAAGGCCTAGTAGAGTGCAAAAGCGCTGATGGTCACAAGGCTGAAGCGCCTTGGTGAACACATCAGCAGTGTTGGCCTCCGTGGCCACGTAACGCAGACAAAGCTGACCACGCTGCTGCAGCTCTCGAGCAAGGAAGTACCGCAGAGCGATGTGCTTCGTTCTGTGCTCCAGTCTGTGCTCCTCACACAAGGCAATGGCAGCCTTGTTGTCGACGTACAGCACTGGAGGAGAACGAGGCCGCTCTCCGAGGTCGGTCAGCAGGTAGGTCAGCCAGCGTAGCTCCTGAGCAGCCATGGCTGTGGCGTAGATCTCAGCCTCACAACTGGAGCTGAGAACAGAAGAAGAGCGAGTAGAACGCCAAGAAACTGAGCCAGAGCCAAGGCTGAAGGTGTAACCCTGGGACGACCGCTGAGTAGCCTGGTCGTCCGCCCAAGAAGCGTCTGAGTGCCCTGTGAGAACAACCCGGTCTCGCCCTCCAAGCACAAGCCCCATGCCCGACGTACTGCACAAGTAGCGCAACACCCTCTTAGCAGCATCCATGTGCTCCTTCCGGTGACGGCCAGGAGCGACATAGCGTGCTAGGATGCTAAGAGGGTATGCAAGGTCAGGTCGAGTGCAGGTCATCAGGTACATGAGGCAGCCCACAAGCTCTGGA